CGCGATATGACCTATACTGTGTCGATGTGACGTAAACCCCAAAACAAAACAAAAACAAAACAAATATCCATATCTCTGTCCAATTTGTTTTATGCTTGCAAAAGTTTCAAATTTTTTAAATACATGTGTATGGTATATTATTGTTTTAGTCATTGATAATTAAATCATACATTGAGTGGAGCATTATAACAAATAGAAAATTTATTACTGGAATTCTTATGATTTTAAGAATGCGTGTACTAGTCTTAACTGGCTCTTGTTTATTTTTCATGGGCAACTTTTCATTGAATTTCCATTGCATTTTTATAATAGAAGAAAATGTAAAGTTTTTAAATGCAATAATTCAGCGCATTAAAAGGACTCCACTGAGGTTTTTGATTACATGACAGGACTGGAAAGATTTTCTCGCGATTTGTGTACAACTTAATGTAGCCCTAAACCATCAACTTGCTTGCGGTTGTTTTTTTTTTCAAGAGAAAATGACCCAACAATGCAACGTTCCGATCTTTCATTATTTTGTGCAGATTTTCCCATTTTAATTGCTTCTCTAGATCTATGTAAACATGTCATATATGCTTTTTGACCTCAATGGAGCTCCTTCTATTTTGAAAACTGTGCCATTAAAAGATGTTACAAATGTGTAATAGAACTTCACATTTCTTTCTTAATCGTGTAAATTTTCAAAAATGCTAAGCCTCTTGCAATTAATATAAACTTTACATAATATACAATCAAAACTGTAAAATATACCATAAATCGAGAATGAACCCTAAAACGTTTTACGACTGAACCATCATTATTGCGGTTTCCTAAAAAAACCAACATTCAGAGCTTATTTTGCCTCCCACACTATGATTGATAGAAGTGATCCGGCGGTGACGTTCATCAATTACACGCTGTATCTAAGGAATTACTGAAGACAATAATAATTCCTCTTTCTATATTGTTTCTCGTATTTTATTGAATTTTATTGACTCCTAGAAGATCATAGAATGAAGGGAAATACAACAAAAACAAAATGATAAAAGCAGTGTCAATTAGAATTGCCTTTCTAATCAGGCCAACGCATGACCCAAATAAAAAAAATGAAAAAAATAGAAAATTGAAATACTGCATTTACTAAAAAAATTATTTTAGATAGATATAGTGTTTCTCATCTTAATCCAATTCAGATTTGATTATTAGAATTTTAAAGTTATCTTTTTGTATTACAATTATTGCTAATAAGCTTCGTTTGTTGCATGAAAAAAAAATGAAATTGTCCAAAAAATTTTGTTATGGCATTTGCTTGTCATCGCTGAAAAATAAGTAAATACAATATGATGCATTTCTGTAATGCGCCCGTAACTTGTTTCATTCATGCAAATCTTATCTACAGATATGTATACTTCGAAAATCCATTAGTGGCGTAAATGTCTAGCTTTTACAAACAATCAGTATTGTCATCTAAAATATACGCAAACAAATTCTAATATCCTTGTGATATGTCTATGTATGTCTATGAATTCTAAATATCTGCCTGGTCTGTTAATTCATTGAATATAAAGGAATCAAATTCGTTTGTAAAAATACGATGACAAATATACTCATCTCAAAGGATTTGCTTTGTTGGTCGTGTATTAAATAATAAGAATTTAAACGTATTTTATGAATAGAAACACAAACCATCAACTATTTCCAATTGTTAACATAAGTTCTGTCTTCATACATTAAACATCTGGTACTTTTTTGCGTATTGTGTCTAGCTTCAGTTTAGAGATTTACCGCATTTTTTTCAAATTTCTAAAAATAAAATTCAGTACACATGCAAATCCTTATGGTAACATTCGTACAATTTATGTTGATAAACACCGGCTTTTTTTGTGATAGTAAAGCTGTTGGTTTAGCTGTGCTTCAAAAAAAAGAGAGAGAAAAAGCGATATTCTTAAAACGCATTTAATGGCAAATTTGAAAATTTTGCAAGCTCGGTCAATAACAGGCACAAACGAACCGAGCCTGCAACTTCTTTTACTCGTATTTTGCCGTTTTGAAATATTCTATAGTGCCTGTTCTTTGAAATAAAATTTGTGAAGTTCTGACGTATGGCGTTATTCGAGCTTGGCGAGATTTTTTATGAATACATTTAAAAAAAAACCATTTAATCTACGAGTACATAAGTTCAAATGATAAAGCGGAAATATCGCGGATGCAACGAAAATAACAAAATTATTTGACAGTTGCTGATTGAGTCTGATCATGAAGGCTAATGTAAAAGTGAGATCTATCACATTCCCGGCACCGACTGAAGCGGTATTCAATCTTGAACTCTATGCTGGAATCAATGATTCCAAAAGACAATAAAATAAAACAAAACTGAAGTTCGTCATTCAAAAAAGCTGTTTGATTCTACAATCTAATCCCATTTTTCAGATCTTGAACTCTATGCTGGAATCAATGATTCCAAAAGACAATAAAATAAAACAAAACTGAAGTTCGTCATTCAAAAAAGCTGTTTGATTCTACAATCTATTCCCATTTTTCAGAGTCACTCTACTCATTCAAAAGAGCTACCTAACCCAACCGCTACGTTAGTCTTTTATGTAAGCAATGGTACAGATTGATGTATGAGTACACGGGGGATGAACCACATATTGATCACATAGATCTCAAAATTGAGCAAAAATTCACATATATTTTTATCGATTTATGCTCAATTTTGAGGAGATCCACATGAGGTCCACCCCTCCGCCTACCCCCCCCCCCCCCCCCCCCACTCCTGCCCCCTTGGAATATAGTCGTCTAATAGATATAACAACTGCTGTCCGAAAGTCATATAGTTACTGTATGGCTTATTTATTATTCTTACTTAGTAATGCTTAGATTAACATCAATTACTATGTGTAAATATAATTATAGATAATATCTATAACACTTAAAAACTCACAAGATAACATTTTTTCCTTCAGATACGTGCATACCTTCTGCAGTGTGATCAAGCCGATAGCGTGAAGAACATGTTAATACTAGGAAATATCTTACGTCCAGACTTCAAATAGGAGAGTTGTGCTATGAAAGAGTCTTGTGATTAAAATAAAAGTGCATTTATGGAAAAGATATAAAAGAACCTTATTCGAAAATGGGATCGTTTATACATGTTCTGTTATTTCTGAGTGAAGTCTGGATTTATACACTGGCTACAGGTTTGTGAGTTTCTTTTTTTTAATTATGTAATTAAACTATAAATTTAAATCACAGATTACTGTTGTTTGAAAGCAAATTATTCTTTCCTTATTCCTCCAGCATCACAATGTCATAAAACGATTACGGTAAACTTTTTTCTTTCTTAAGAGCTTTTTTTCTGGTGTGTAGAAAATAATTTTTATATCATATGATTCTAACCTGTTTTCAACTACATGTGTTCGAATTCCAACTCAACTTTACCTTAAGCTGAGTGTGTAATTTGAAAATCAAAATATACATACTACAGATCTATACTATAATTTTCATTATTGCAAGGTTTGGTCGTCATGTCTGTTTTTGTTTTTTCTCTCTCTTTTTATTAAAACATATATTTTGTTAGAAAGCGTTGTTTTTGGAAAGTTATATTGTTTTTATTAAATAATATGTGTTTTACAGTCTATGAAATTTTATTTTCTTCGTTGCATTATTAAATCGATGTGGTAATGTTTCACATAATTGTGTTTTGTTATTGTCCAGTATCATTCCACCAGATTCTAAACAACAAGATTAGTTCTGTAATATATTCGTAATCGCCAAGATAACCTGCATGTTTTTTCTTTGCAATTTATGAAATGCAATGTAATTACTATATTGTCTTTTATCTACTTACATTTTCTTCTTTTTATTACATTAAGATTGCTCAAATGTTGTTTTTTTATTTTCGGGAGATAATTTTTAAAACAATAGCTATATAAAACCATTAACGATGTATAAATGTCACTTACTTTTTTGACAAGTGGTTTGAACAGTAAATAGAGAAGTAGGTTCTTCACTATGTAACCCTTATAATCTAATAAAAATGTTGTTTATTAGGTAGAAATATATAGGTGTTTACAGATGTAACTTCTTAGAACATAAAAAAACAACTATGTACAACGATTTCTTTTTCATATGATATCATATGATAAAACATAACTTTAATGTTTACATTTCAAAATTACACTTCATTCCAAAATTATGTAATTTCCGTGTCCTTAATTGAATCAATCATTGAACAAATAATGAAAAGATAACTGATAATTTTGTTTACTCAATCTGTTAAATGTACTTTAAAGAAATTGGTGTATTTCAATAAAGACAGGCTGTAAAAATAGAAATGGACATTAAAAACATCGGTTTTTGGAGTAATAAAATAATGACTGTACGGAAAATTAACTATTTTAATGATTGCAAGTTAGAAATATTTTCGGATGCAATTTATAAAGTGGTAGAGGCTCATCTCAATCCGTCAGCAACAACTTAAGTCATGGTTCGTTTAGTTTAAGTTAAAATACATATGTAACTGTTTTATTTGTTTTATATGACGAAATAATGAATGGTATCTTTGTTCATAGTGAAATTGTATGAAAAGCTCAATTTAAAGTAGAAGAGTTCTTGTTTGATCTTGCAGGTGCTACTGCACCCATGCAGTCATGCGCTCATCCCGTTTATCATCTTTCAATGAACATAAATATTATCTTCGAGAAAATCAGTATTGTACTTGCAGGTGTTTTTCAGCGCATTTTGATGTGGTTCAAGTGGTCAAAAGCATGACTTTTAAATTTCTGTCTGGAAGCATAGACAATCCGGAACATCTATAAAAATTTGTATAATTGATCAATTAGATTAGTAGTTTGTTAAATGTCTGTTACATACGTCGGTGTAAATCTGTAACATTGTTATGATTTGCGTTGACCAGAACAAATAGAACATTGATAATTATCGGATAAAGTAAATAAAACGTTTTTCGTTATTCTATCTTCTCTTTTTGTGCATATGTCACATAATCAATACATTAACGGCGGTAGTGTCTGTATAAACTGTCCAGAGTATTTACTGATTAAATCCTGGATGTAACAGCCTCATTAACAAAACGCTCTAGGTCGAGCAATAAATGTCTCGGAATCATTATCAGTTGAAATTGAGAAATTAAGTTATCGAATCATAAGACGTAAGAGAGCACGTTTGACAACGACATGTTGTAGACTTATCATATTGCAATAGTTAATTGTTGAGTTTTCTATGATAAGACTTTTGTTTGACATTATGTGCTGCATTTTAACAACCATTCTGATAACGAGTGTATGGATATTACATAACGTGACAGGTAGTCGGTTTTATTTCATTTCATTTCATACGATAGTTTACTTTTTGTTAACGGCAATATGTCAATTATGAATGCATTATTTTTTAGTTTTGAATAAAAGGATAAGCTCTGAGCAAAATTTTAGAAACGTTTATCTGATGACATACGGGTAGTGGTAATTCTAAATAAAAGTGATTTCTGAACATATTTTATTGATTTTTTTTTTTACCTTTAACTTAAAAGATTTACCACTACAGGAGTTGTTATTTAACATATGAAATGTATATTATGCTTAGATTAATGTAGAAACCATTCACTTGAAGCGTGATTTGTCAGATATGAAAAACATTTCATTTAATCTTGATTTGATGTATTAACAGTATTTTTTAAGGATCGATATTCAACTAGAAACTATTTAGAGCTAGCTTTATCAACTACTCGTTTTCAAAGGGAACATATGCATTGTAAACTTACCTTTACCTTCCCTATCATTTCATCTGTGTATCACGCAAATAAATCGCAAGAAAACGTCACCAAATTATTATTGATTTTATCAAATACGGTTCGTTATTGGTCAAAAAATAAATAAATGATCTTTATGTATTACCTATGCCTTCGTAAAACATTTAATTGGAGCGTTTGTTAAGACTTTGTCAGTGTTATTATATACGCATTTTAAACATATGATTTGTGTTGTTTAAGGTGTTTTGCAACAGTTTTATTCTAGATCATGGTTAGGATTACTTTAATTGCCTGGTTCATTTGGATTCTTCATATATCAACAGGTAGTTTTTATAAACATTTACACAAATATGTCAAATTTAATGTGATAACATATAAAAATGTGCAAAAGATTTGGCAGAAAAGTTAAAAAGTCTGTAGTTTATTGAAATGCCTATTTAACTAAAAAAAATAAGAATAATGTCTGACATAGTAAGGGCAACATTTCGTTTCGTATGTTTGTTATCATAAGTTATTACTTTACTTACAAAAATATTAATTCAGACTGAAAATACAGCTTGATGAATTCTCCATGCATTCTGTCAATACAACAGTTTGCTTCCTATGCCATATAGATTCAGTATATGTAAAGGTAACATTAGCTTTACTGGCATTTAGAAAAGAACATTTATCTTCAAATATACCATGTTAGAATGAGGATATTTTATGGCTTTGATATGGTTGATTTTATCTATTGGCTTGATTATTTGATACGTGTAAGATTGTTTCTTTCTTCCACCAAGTAAACATGTAAAAAAAATTGTTTCTTTCTCATGAAAGATCTTTTCTTTCTTCTACCATGAAAACATGTATGATTGTTTCTTATTTCCACCAAATAAACATGCAAGATTGTTTCTTTCTTTCATCATGTAAACATTTAAGATTGTTTCTTTCTTCCACTAAACGTTTCTTTCTTCAACTAAATAAACATGTAAGATATTGTTTCCCTTTATGCCCGTCGTACCTATTATATTGTTGTTGTTTTTTTTCTTCTGTTACATGTATTAACATGCTTTTCATGTTTTAATATTAAAGATATTTTATGTTAAAAAGAAACAGATACATCGTTTAAATCCTTAAAGTATGATCATTTGGAGATGCCTTTTGAAGTCCTTAAGTTGTACTTAAAGAATGCACTTATATCAAGGGTATATTTTTTTGCAAAATGTTAGCGTTATAACAAACAAGTATCGAATACATTATATATTTGTACTACAGTTTTTTTTTATCATCAAAGGAAACTAGATCCGTTCAAGCCAATTAAACATGGTATCATTAGATCTGTGGTATCGTCAAATCTATCAGTTTCAACAATACCCAATAGTGAATACAATTGCATTAACATTTTTAAAGTATTAAATTATCAATTAACTTATCATATAATGTCATACATAATGTCATACATGCACGCAAGTAAGATCAACGAATATTTACAATAAAAGTACATTGGTATTTTGAAAAAAAATGTTAAATTTCAAAATAAATTTATGACAGATTGAACGGAAATACAAACTGTTACATTTGAAACCTTGAATAATGCTTATGAATGAATTACGTTATATAGTCGATTCAGTATAAACTTTTAATGAGACACTTGAAGGACTTTAAATCTGGTTCGTTGTATAAAACGGTCCTTTTTTCATGATATGAGGATTTTGTTAAATAGAATAACCATGGCAATAATTAATGGCCTATAAATGTACGTAAAATGTTTTTTTTTTGGGTAACACTCAAATTTCTCAAAATGAAAAAAGATGTAATATTACAAATTTTAATTTTGATTTAATTTCTATAAAATATTATTAACAGAAACTTATCTTTTTTTTGAACATTACAAGTCATTATTAAACATTTTTAATAAACGCCATTGTTTTAAAGCAATAATCAAAATAATCACATTAATGTCAATTCAGTCCATTTTCTTTTACAATTTAAAACGTAATATTGCATTGATAAAAACAAGGCCTTAAGTACAGTATCATTTTTTGATGACTCAAGGATCAAGAACCATGTGCTAAATGTTAAAAGTGTTGAGACGAAGTCATTCCAAATTGATAGTGTCTAGTGGCATATGCCCAGTTATTAAAGAAGCAATTTACGTTCCGTCGCCTGGCCTTTGATGTTTGAAACTTAAATATAAAATACAAAATAAACAGGAACATTTTATGTCATAAATGACATTACTGGATGTGCGTTTATCCTGGTGGGACATATGTTATCATTGGGGTAAACATTATTCAACTGACCGACTTGCAAGGTCACAGAGATTTTTAGATACTTATGAATAATTGATAAGGTTGTTAAAAAATCAAAAATAATTATTTTAGCAGAAACTCTTATATTTTGATCGTATTTTCTATTCTCAATACGAGAAATTTATTACACACTCTAAACATACATTGTACTTCTGTTCAAGGACATTTAAAACATGCACGCAGTCGCTTGAAAGCAAGAAAACACCAAGTCATCATTGTCCTTCTAAGCTTCGATTATTTCAATAGTGTGCCCGCATTCGGTAAAATTTTATTTTTATTTCAATGTTTATCATTAATTCATATTCATTAAATATGATAAAATAGAAGGTATCTGTGTTAAACATTATATTCTTATTTAATCACGTTTTTTTGTTGTTTGTTTTGTTTGTTTTTTTGTTGTTGTTTTTTTTCTCAATAACTTACAACCAAGTGAATCAATGTTAACACCGTATCAACCTTCATCCATCGATAAATTGGTCTACAGTGAATACAAGAAAATAAGTTTTAACATTCTATAATTTACAAGAAATGGCAACACTCACTGTAACAGTGTATAAAGATATTGAGAAATACTAATCTAGTCATTTATATTCATGGAAACTTTGATAAATGTGTTCCTCTTTAACACTGGTCAGATTTGTTTAATAAACCCATTTCAAAGATACACACATGTTGTTAGAATGGCTATTAGATAGCAGAACAGTAATAGATACCCTAAATAAACCAGAATCATTGATATGCTCAACAAGATTTGTTCTTTCAAGCGCAAGATAAACTTGCAACACATAGTGAACTTATGTCAAGTTAATATATTTTTTCCATTGATGATAAATAGGCCTACTAATAAAATAGAGCTTAGGTAATATCACAATTTATTCCGTTTGATTTTTTTGCTGCGATTAAACACGTAAAAGATGTGTTGATATGTCGATTTTCTTTGAACTTTTTAATATAAACAAGTCGTAGTGCTAACGTTTAACTTTTTGTAAAATGTGGACACTGATATGGTTTTCAGTCATTAATTGACAAATATACTACTTCCATTAAAATGGAATTTCAGGGTTTTTTTATAAAATTACATGAAAATTCATTGAAATGACTATTATATTTCAATAGCCAACCTAAGTTTAATGATTAGCTGACGTAAAAGAAGAAATTCCCAGAATGCTGCTGATTAAAATATTTTGGAATGTGTTTTAAAAGTATGTAGCTAAACACAAATACTTCAACAAGGATTCATAAGAAATATATAATCAAAAGTTACGTAACCGCTAACCCGGAAGAAATTAATTTCATTTATTTTAAAGGTTCGTTCCATATCTCAAGTGAATGACACATGGATGCATAATATACTATGAAATTTCCAATAGAAAAAAAACTAATTAACTAGACTTTTTCAAGCAATGTTTTACTCAAAAGACGTCAGGTATGTCATAAATAGTTAAAAGCTTCTTTATACTCGTTTCTTGCCATTTAAACTGCGCCTGTAAAAAGTTTCTTTTAGAAGGTTTAGAAAATGGACGTTTTTAAGGGTTTTTAATATATTGAAATTATTCTCATTTATGACAGACAGATGGATTGATCAGACAGCTAAAGTTTAACATGCAAGCAATAAATATCTTCAGAATGCGGCTGGATTTTATTTGCAAGCAATCATACACATACACATGTTTCTGTATTTGTAGAATGGATGTAAACATTTTTCTTAATATACCAATCATATGCCCAGACTGTTATAACACTTGTAATGGTCAATATTGTCCTCTGGATAGAAACCCATTTGATGTCTAAGCATGTTTACAAATAAGTCCGGAATTCTCTCATCGCTAATTTCAGCGAAGGAAAGTGTTTTATTCTGGTAAACTTCATCAAAATGTCAATACTTGACTTTTTGAACACTAACTACATTCCGACATGAAACAGACATTGTTGCATATGTACCATGGTATAGAAGTATCTCATATGAACTAACAATACTCCGCTTCCTTCAGATAATATTTATAGTTATTGAACTGAATCCAGTAGAAGTTTTATCTATAATGTTAGACATACTTTTTCACTTTATGCAACCTTAGAGTATCGAGTTGTTATATTCTTGTAATCATTGAGTAGTGTCATAATCATTTCAATTCTTTAATTCGGATTTATCAGATATATGTTAGGCGAACTATACAATATATGTTACATTTTTGCATTTTCATTCATAAGCAGACTCAATGTTATCACTCGTTTCAAATTTAACCAATTAAAAAAACGTTATATGAGATAAAATAATTTAAATGTTAGTACATGTTTTTCCACCAATTTGATTTTTCTTTATATATCGAAATCTTTAGTGGAATGGAATTGAATAGCGGAGTGCTTGAGTAAGGTTTCGGTTACATGAGAAGATACTAAAAGTGTTTTTATTTTTTATTGATCTGAATATCTCTTTGACATTATAGCTTAATAATATACCGTAACTGTATGTATGTTCAAGATTTTATATAAGACAGGTTTCGGAAGATTTGAACTCTCCAATTATTTCTTAATATATACTACTAATTAGTTTAACCTACTTGTATTACACTATAACGATTATAGTTGAGCCGTCGATCGGTTTGTCGTACTTCTGTTACTTCAGTTACATTAGCATTACAGATTTTATAGTGAATGTAATTTGTTGCTTTTACTTGAAAATGTTATTTCTTGTGTTCATGGAAAAGGGAATTGTACTATTATTGCTTGTAGATATCTTGTGGATCTTACAGTTTACACCAGGTACAAATATGTATAAATATATTAAGATAATTGCATACGGAACATAACACGCATAAAACGCATGATATATTCCCATATTTATAAAAAAAAAATATCAGATATTGACATTACATTAATACATGGTTGAAATTTTTTTTAATTACTGCATTTTGAAATAAAAACGTAAAATGAAATATTCTGACTTTATCTAGTACAGAGGTACTGTATTAAAACTTTCGCAATAACATATTAAGTTTCGTGTATTTTAGACATTTGGATTTTTTTTAACTATTTACATTTTTAAAAAAGCCTTGGCATAATTGAAACCAATTATAAATCTTGATTTTTATTATATTGAATTACCGTGCTCTTAGTGCGGTTAATATGTATTGCGACTTTTACAGAAAGATATAAGTTATTATAACAATAATCAATAGCTATACTAATCAGATAATATTATGAATAAACAAAAGCAATGATTTTTATGCCCCCACAGAGTGGGAGCATATAGCGTTGCATTTGTCCGTCCGAGTGTCCGTCCGTACGTCTGTCTGTCCGTCCGTCCGTACGTCCCGAAATTTTGTGAACGCAACTCCTCTTAAACCGGATGGCAGATTCTGCTTAAACTTCCAGGGATGAACAACCTTAATGTGTAGATGGTAGTAAAGGAAGGAATTTTTGCTGCGACCAAATTTAACAGAATCATGGCCCTTTGTTGGTTTTTTCACTATATACTATGTAGAAATTTTGTGAACGCAACTCCTCTTAAACCGGAATGGCAGATTTTGCTTAAACTTTCAGGGATGAACAACCTCAAATGTGTAGATGGTAGTAAAAAGGAAGGAATTTTTTGCTGCGACCAAAAATTTAAAACAGAATTATGGCCGCTTTGTTGATTTTTTCAAACTATATACTATGTAGAAATTTTGTGAACGCAACTCCTCTTAAACCGGATGGCAGATTTTGCTTAAACTTTCAGGGATGAACAACCTTAATGTGCAGATGGTAAAGTTAAGGGAGGAATTTTTTTGCTGCGACCAAATTTTAACATGAATTATGGGGCCCTTTTGTTGATTTTTTCACTATATACTATGTAGAAATTTGTTGTGAACGCAACCTCTTCTTAAAACCGGATGGCAGATTTTGCTTAAACTTCAGGGATGAACAACCTTAATGTGCCAGATGGTAGTTAAGGGAGGAATTTTTGCTGCGACCAAATTTAACAGAATTATGGCCCTTTGTTGATTTTTCACTATATACTATGCAGAAATTTTGTGAACGCAACTCCTCTTAAACCGGATGGCAGATTTTGCTTAAACTTCCAGGGATGAACAACCTTAATGTGTATATGGTAGTAAAGGAAGGAATTTTTGCTGCGACAAAATTTAACAGAATTATGGCCCTTTGTTGATTTTTTCACTATATACTATGTAGAAATTTTGTGAACGCAACTCCTTTTTAACCGGATGGCAGATTTTGCTTAAACTTCCAGGGATGAACAACCTTAATGTGTAGATGGTAGTAAAGGAAGGAATTTTTGCTGCGACCAAATTTAACAGAATTACGGCCCTTTGTTGATTTTTAGTTTTCAACTTGTGGCACATGTAGTCCAAAAAATATTTGACCTAGAGTCATAAGATTGACAGAGCAATGGCGTGTGGGGGCATCCGTGTCCTATGGACACATTTCTAGTTTTATTTTTATTTTTGGAACCTCGTTTAAAGCCTGTTTATTTATACTTTCTTTACATAATACATTCATTTACATTTTACAATTATTTATTTAACATAACATGCAAAAAGAACATAACATAGTATTCAGAATTTGACCTTTGTTGTTGTATTTGTAGATATTGTTTTTATTTTTATAGAAGATTTAAAAGCAGCTACTTTGATATGATATTAATTTGACTGAATATATATATCATTGATTGCGTTATATTTAAGGTTGTGGTGATGAGATGCAGCAATATTGTTTGTCGAGGTTCCATGACGTGCCCGAGGAGGACATGACGCAAGAACAAAGGTTGTTGTACCGATTGATGAAGTCATATGACAGAGCGTCTCGTCCAGTGTTTGACGCAAAACAACCCGTGCTTATAAAGTTAGGTATCAGCCTAACTCAAGTTCTTGATGTGGTTAGTAGTAACTTAAGTTAGTATATTTTAGTGTGAGAATGCTATCAAGTTATAACGGAAAGTCAATGGTTTTAATTAGATGCTCGTTTGTGCCTGAAATCAAGAGGGGCAATGATGCCTTCCTCCACCAGTAAAGCTTAAAAGTTGCCTTATGCCCTTTGGCAGTGTTGGTACCACGTACTACCCAACCAAAAATACTATTAAAGCTAAACAAATTATTAAAATATTAAGCATAAAATATAATAAAACAAAACCGGTGAGTAATTCATTAAAATTTCCAATTCATGGACTCATTGTGTGTATCCTCGCATTAGAGTTTAAGTGAGCATATAAAATGATGGGTTTAACTGTAATTCAATATAAATTTAAATAATCATTATGTACACTCCGGTTGTTTATTAAAAACAAAGACAATTTTAATTGTTAAAAAACTATGGTTATTATGAAACTTGATAAAATTTATTTAACCTATCTTGTATAAAATTAAACAAATATAATAAAAAACACTGTTAGCTGAACGTACAAACAAAATTTATAAATTTGGTATTTTCAGGATGAGAAAAATCAAGTTCTTACGACAAATGTTTGGCTAGACCAGGTAAAATAGAATTTTAAAATAAGTATTAATTTTTGGCATTTAGTTTGTGTTGCGCATATTTACATTTCATTTATAAGGAACAACCATGAGCTGTGTAAGAACATTTACGGTTGTATATAAGAAGTAAAACTATACTTGTTGGTAATACTTTCAGATTTGATTATTCAGATACCAGAACATTGTTCCCTATGAGTCGCTTAAGTTATTCCAACACGAAATGTTTATATTATTTTATCTTTCACCAGTCTGAAGAAACGCAAATAAGCGTTCACAAACAATCACTCATAATATTATGTTACATATACCTTAAAGTACAAATTGCTAGTACACAGTGGGACACCGTTTGAACGGTATTATATATTACATGTAATATAATACCGAGGATGCGTAAAACGTGGAATGTGTACTTTAAAAATACAACAGTTACATGTTTATCAAGTTTTAAGATTGTTTTACAGGAATGGTATGATGAAAGGCTGGTATGGACAAACGTGTCAGAGTTTGCTGACATCAACATACTGCGCATACCATGTGATCTCATATGGCTGCCAGATATAATACTGTACAATAGGTAAGTGTATCACTTATAGTGATAATAATAATAATGATGATGATAATAATGCATAATGCAAAAAGAACAAAAATATCAACAAGAGGAAAAAGAAGATGATCCTTTTCATGTTTTACCGTTATACTCTGTTTAAGATTATCAGATTTTTATGTTTCGTATAGTTTCTCTTTTATACACTGTTGTCAATTTTTCCTGAAGTATCAATGTTCTTAATATGTTTTTTTTTCTATCATTTTTTTACATCTTAATATTTTCCCCAGTAACAACTCCGACTTACAATGTATTATGTTTTTTAACTAACAGGGTAAAAAGCGAAACAGTATTTGATGTCTGTACATGGCGTCATAGAATTATTGACATTATAGTAATCATTAGATATTGGTACTTTTAGAAGTTATTAGCAATATATAAGTCAGCTATATTTATACTAACGCCATCAGGATAGACTCTGGAACAGCGAAAATATTGATATTCTTTATGTTTTTTAAAGAAAGTTTTATAGTTTTTATAAATTCCATCAAATAAAAGATAAAAATTTTGCGATATATGATACATGTATGAGAAGTACATTATATATATATATATATAGTGTAATTTCCACACATATACCAGTATTTATAACAATCTGGGCATGTACCAAGCATTGTCGTTAAAGTTGATGGTGCTATGTGTGAACCGCTTGAAAACATTGAGTAGAAAAATTTTATCACACATTTGAGGGTGTTCTTTTTTCAATTTTAAAAACATCCGATTTTTTTGTATAACATACATGATATCAACAGTTTGATCAAAGTTATGTCTCAAAAATACACGATCTAAAAATGTGTAAAGAATAACCACCCTTTCAGATTATATAGCTTCTTTTATCATGAGAGAATTCTCTAATAAATAGAAAAAGTCGGATGACTTTGCGAAAAAAAATTGTGTAAACTTGTAAACCGTCTATACGTGTAAGTGTAAAGCTTTTTTAATATAATTGTTGAATTGTTGTTGAGTTCGGAACAAGGATTATTTTTTGTCTGCTTCTCTTATTTTATCTGCATCAGTAACATGCAAGGTGAACTCTTGGGATTCTTTCTGTTTCTAGGTAAACAGCTTTCTGGAGAACCATACATTTCTTTTATTGTTAATCCAGTTTCTTTTGTTAGACATTACAATTTCCGCAATCGATTGTTGAATGCATTGTTCACCATCGCCCTCTTTTAATAACAATTGTCATCCAAAGAATTTTTTTCATCATTTAAAGTAAACATTTGACACATAATTCAAGGAAAATATTTGTAAATATGTAATGAAAAATATTCCCTGAAAGGTTGTACATGTAGAACAAATAAAGATTATCCTAGCTCTTGAAGAAAGAAAAGAAGCAGGGTAATCAAAAGATTGTTTACGTGCATTTTTCTAAATAGACTATCATATTTTCTGAATCACTCTGTGTGTTATATTAATTTGTCTAATTTTTACCCCAAATGTTCAGCTGAGACCAACTATTCTGAGATAACATTGTTGATATTGGCAAAATAACTTTTGATAAGCATGCTGTATCCGGTCATCTGGGGTATTCGTAAAGTCGGCAATTAAAGAGAATATACTCGTTTTTGATTTATCTGATATACCACATGCTTACTCGTATCTCAGAAATGAGCATGAGTCTCGCTGTTGCATATATTAATTGGGAATAAGGTTTAAGATCATTATCAGTTTTAATAGCTACCTCGTTTGATCAGCTTTTGGCGGAAGGCATACGTTAGCTTATAAGAGCTGACCCATGTAAAATATAATGTTCTTGATTTCTTATTTGCGTATGATGTACATCAGTCTAAATAATTGTTCAAACAAATGCCAGTACTTTTGTAAATTACAATTTCGAGCGTATTTTCTGTTTCAGCGTCGACAATCACAACAAAGGTTATATGAAAAGTCTAGCAATGGTGCAGAAAACTGGTCATGTCTTTTGGCCACCAATCGTGCGCATGCGCAGCTCATGTAAAATGGATATCACATTTTTTCCATTTGATGATCAAATTTGTAAAATGAAGCTTGGATCCTGGGCGTATGATGGATTTCAGGTCCGTATATTTGCAATTTACAGTCATACTTTAAAAAACTTTCGATCTTTAAATAGGCAGGCTATGTACATGATGTACAGACTCAATCAAACCGAGTCTGCAATTTTCGTGTAATTTTGTTGTGAGTAATGCTTCCGAGGAATCACACTTATTTTGTGTTTCAAGATGAAGTTAGATCTTGAGACTGGCTTAAATCACTTGTTTATTTATTTGACACCATGTTATACTTACCAATACTGTATTAATATCCATGAGTAAGAGCTTTAATGGAATGTTTTTTATTCATTTTCTAGGTTGATGTCAGTAACCGAAGTCTTGAGATAGATTTAACAAATTTCGTTGACAATGGTGAATGGACACTGATAAATACCAAAGTTCAACGAAACGTCATTTATTACCCATGTTGCCCGGAACCATTTCCTGACGTGACGTTTTACGTTCAGTTACGCCGACGTGTGCTGTACTATTTCCTGAACGTTATCATACCCTGTATGTTATTATCATCATTGACATTAACGGGCTTTCTTTTGCCACCAGACAGTGGTGAAAAAATTACACTTGGACTTACAGTGCTTCTAGCTTTTTCTGTGTTTATGCTACTCATAGCCGAAAATATGCCACCTACATCCGAATACATTCCTTTAATAGGTAAGATATCTGATCATACATTTAGTTATGCAAGGTGAAACGTGTGATTATGATAAAAAAAATCAACTGAGTGGCTGATAAATATACTACAATTTTAAAAAGTAAACGAAAAATTGAAGTTTAATTCAAACTGCTTAATACTTTTCCTATATTATAAACTTTGCCTGCAACATTTTCAATTTTGCCGTGTTGGGCTTTCTTTAGGGATGCCTATTTTCTCTATTTGCTAAGTGTTCGAAAACGGTTAAATCTTTGTTTCCATACAACAGAATGATGACATTTTTTTCTTATTCTTATATAACGTATTCTCTATTTTCAGGAATATATCTGACTATTATTATGGCTATGAGTGCATTGTCGGTTGTTTTTTCTGTATTTGTTCTTAATTTTCACCACAAACGGAGTGGATCAGTTCCTCCAGCACCTTGGATAAAAGCTATTGCACACTGTGCGTCAATCCTGACGTGCACAACGTTAACGTTTAATAGTGACGTATCTATAGGTACCAAATTTCAGAGAAATACACAAAGAGAGCACAATGTTGCGGAATACAATTTGATTAATGTTAATCAAGAAGAAGAAACCGAGACCTGTGATCATTTAATGGACATCCACACGAACACACAGTGTTCGGAGAATCACAGGGGCGTAAAAAATTCAAATAATAATACAAATGGAAGATCACACTTGCCAATAGTAGAAAACATCTTGGCAGATTATGTAAACAAAGTGTTATCTGGATATGACAGATTGAGAGAGGATAATCAAGTGATGAGTAACTGGAAAGAAATAGCTAGAGTGTTTGATAGGGTACTGTTTGTCTTGTTTGCCTTGATTACCGCCAGTTCAACTGTAGTTCTACTTGTTATTTGTCCTATGACTAAAGAGATTACTATCGAAGACTTTATGAACGAGAATTGAAATCAAGGATTATCATTTACAAAGAGAGATTTTTTTATTTCACTCATTTTGGTATTATTATTTATAAAAAAATATTTTGTTTGATTGAAACAATTGATATAAATAGTGTAAGGTGTTCGATGATTCAAACTTAGTTATCAATTGAAATTGAATCAAAGGGACGCACTTTCATAATGTTGAATTTTCAATATGTTTTATATTTTGTTGTACATTTCGTGATCTATTTTGGTAATGATATGAACTTGATGTTTTGAATGGCTAAAGCTTTAATAACTGTGTTCGTGTTGTTGTTTTTGTTTGTTTGTTTTTTTGTTGTTTTTTTTTGTTTTTTAGAAGAAGAAAAATTCAAAAAATGTGTCTATTCAATATGTTTTTGCCTTTCTATGAGAAGTTTAAGAAAGTCAAATGCATAAAAACAATATTATAATTTTTTAAATACCGGTAAAGTTATTAGATATTAATAAGATTATGATTTGTATTTTATTCGATTTTTTACCTTAACAATCGACTTTACAGCGTTTGAATAAACATATCAAACATTTTTACATTGTCTTGATTTGTCGATTACTTTAGGTAACCATATGCTGCTGCTCATAGAATGACACTCATAGGTCACATGATCAACGTCGTTTGATGTCTCTTGATTTTCCATATTTAAATGTTGAATATTCTGCTAAACGTCGTTTGATGTCTCTTCATTTTCCATATTTAGATGTTTAATATTCTGCTAAAACTGGTTCTAGGAGCATGGACGGTCGTCTCAGCACATCTCTACGGTTCATGAATAGGCTCAAGCATACAGAGCCTTAAAATTCTGATTTTTGACATGTATTCTTTCGATATTCCATATTTTTCTATTTTGAGAAACGTTCTATGCTCCTTTGCATTTGATAAGAAATGCAATATTCTTGTTTATTTTCTTTGCACTTATATAACATGACATTTTGTTTAACTTGAATTGCGTTTCCTGCTTTATGAGGATAAGATTGAATTATTCATTTGTACTTGGATTCTACTACTTTATTGTTTAACATTTCATAGTAAATATTTGTATACCTCATATTTAGTAATTAAATCATAACATGACCAAGAAGTGATTGGTATCAAAGTTTTGAAGCCAACCTTTTAAAGGAGACATGGTCAGTGAAGTATTGAAACTTTCTGGGTTAAAATTCAGTTATTTTGTAAAATAAATGAAAAATGTAGTTATTTTCATGAAACACGTGGTCACTTTTGTTGTTTTGATAACTGCCTGAAATGTTCAAATGCATTTTTTTACAACTTTTCTGTAACTGTTTTCAAAATTAGCTTAGGCTCATTGATGTGAATGGAATAATATAGGAAATAAATTCCCTTAATTTCTTATTCATTTTTATTTGCCTTTATTCTTTTAAACCACAAAATGTAGACAAACCCATATACGTATATTAAATAAATACTTACAAAATAATGTGATTCTGGTCAAGGAAAGGATTAATTTACGTTCCGAAGAAGATTGAGTATCTCTTCAACATTTGCTGTCTACTTGTGAGTTACGTCCCTGTCATTCGTTTTCAAGGCACTTATACAAGGGATTCCCCCTTTTTAACATAAATCGGTAAAATCCACTTTTACCCTGTAAGAAAACGCAATGTTGTAAATGAAATTTGCTATTTAACAAATCCGAACTTTAAGTATTGTCAATAAATTTGTATATTTGTTTATAACATTAATAATTTTATAACTAAAATACTCTAAATGAGCAATAACGCGAAATCGAAATATCTTTAGTCTTCTGAGTCGGCATTATGTGGTTGTTAATTAGCAAGTGTCTGAAGTTACTATGTGAATTACCAATTATTTTTATTTTGAAATTGCCTTATTCGAAACGTCTTGTAAAAGGATCGCCAATCGTTTTAACATTCCTTTGTAGTACAACTTTTTCTTAAACACATGCACGGAATGATTGTACACGAAATTATCTTGCATCAGTTAAACTTGAACTCGTCTCAACAACACAGTTCCTGCTACTTGAATTCTTTCCAGGTAAACTAAAATAACAAGGGATCTTTCCGGATTGTGGGATATGGCTTGGGGACGCTGCGTTCCGTGAATGCATTTCTTCCTTGTTGGTTTTGATTCTCTTATATTTTTTACACATTATACCCGTCTATAGCTATAAAGTTGTCAACTTGCATTTCTCTGTGAACGACACTTTGGTTCTGGATATAATTGATATAAGCAGCAAGTCATAAACAAGAAAAACATATTTGGCACGTTTCACTGGTTACACATAAAGTTACCATTATGCTGATTAATTCTTAAACTCCCTTATTCCGACATCAAGTGTTTCGGAACAAAGGTTAAGAAACGTTTTTAACATACGTTTGTAGAAATATAATTTCTGTTGCACATGCTATTTTGCAAGGATATATTCACCTTCCAATCATGGAAATAACGAGACTTTTGCGTGAGATCCGTTTTTTATGGAAGGATATCTGGTAGCTGCACAACTATAGAATATCCGTAAATTCGAAATATTCCTTTGACTGGCAACCTGAGACGCATTGATTTGTGAATAAACTCTATTATTGTCTAGAACTAGAATCTGTTATTTAAGTTTTTGTCTGATTCATTTCCAAGGCAAAATAGTGACGATTGTTTGAAAGCAATGCTGAAAATGTAACGTTTCGATGACAATTATATTAGATGAATGACTTTTTTCATAAACATAAGCTTGACCTTCTATAAATCCATTGTCACTTTCTGATAATGTCCAACGCATTTATTAAAATAATGTACGCCGACTGGAACAACCATTAGAGAGACGAAAAGATGGTACCTTATAAACATAATAAATATATATCATATACAAATTACAATAAACGAAATTTCATCAACTAACTGTCGGGATTTTGCTATATATTAAATTATTAATTGTTCCGTCACCTATTGTTCATTTTAAAGTGTTCATGTTGATAAGTGAGAAAGTTTGTGCGGCTGCAACAATAAATACTTATCAGGTATGAATCTCATGGGATAATAATGGGATAATGAGCACATTTTCAAAGTATTTCAATCATTTTGATATTCGTATGAAATATTTCTGGAAAACAAAATGTTCTAAAATGATTAAATATGACCATTTATATGATATTAAATAATAATATTTTGTTCTAGAACACTTTATTATCTGCTATATATTGATATGTAATATAGGAGCATGTATCTAACGCCAACACCATCCATATGTTTATTCATGTAAGACAACATTATCAACATTATTATTAATGGCAATACAGATTTTCCATCATTAACCAATTCACTACAAAACACTTTGCCAAATACACGTTTCCTAAATTGATTACAAACATCAATACTTAATTTTGTAGCTGTCCGAACAAACGATCTGTGCAAATGTTTATTGTATCAAGTATAAAAATTGTATAACAATAAAATATCCTTAATGGTACATTTTCCCTAAGAAATGAGTACATTTTCTGTTCTTCATTGGAAAGGGCAAACATGCGTTTTATATTTTTAGTGAGTCAACTTGAGGAAGAAGCTCTGATTGCATAAAGTAAGCAAAATGTTAAAGTGTTATTACTGCCATGTAAAATTGTAAATCAATATATATCTGTAATAAATTCCAATTAGTAAAATAATCAATAAATGGTTGGTTAAGCCTTTATGTTCAATTAAAAGGAAACTGTAAAAGGATATCAAAACATTTTTTTTAAATAAAATGAGTAATAATTGTTACAACATCTTGTAAGGATAGACATATATTTGAAAAAAATATGTGTCATAAAGATAACTCATGGCCTTTATATCAGTATCACACTCTTTGTGTTCAATAGTTGATTATTTATATTTTATTAATGATTTATTAATTAGTCTTGGGAACATTACTTTAATGATTGGTACATAACAGGTTTCATGATAGATATGATGGCGATAACATGTTTTATCTAAGCTGTATGCATAAAATTTTTTATCTAAAATATTACTGTGCTACTTATCAAATGTGTGGCAGAATCAAATGGTGCATGGCGTATTCTTATTGATTTTAAAACAGTGAGCTGTCATTTAAAACTGATATGCTAATTTTAATGAGAATTTTGAAAATCTATTTAAAAGGTGAACAAACAAAGTTATTTACACATTGCAAACGGCACTAACATTCCACGTAAATTTACAAAAAAGAGGTCAAAATATGTAAAAACAAATAGCATGAGAATAGAAAAATGGTGCTAAATACTGCAAAATAAGTCATGAATCGCATACAATATGTAAATTATAACTTGAATCTTTGATTTTTTTTACTTTTCTAAAAAAATCTTAGGTCATTTCTCTCAATTTTGATTTTCTTGAAATATTTTGGCTTATCTGGAGGCATACATAGTTAGAATTGACGATTTAATATTTCAATTTATAGGGCAATGAAGCACTTGATGGCAGAGATTTAGAAATATAACACATATTTGTTTGTAAAAAATGATAAATTAAAGATACTGAAACTTAGATTTCCGTTATACTAACACCTAATACCAGTATTTAATGAGTGTGAATTTAAAATTCAAAATGCATTCGTACTGTGTTGAATGTTTCATGTGTCTTAAATTACGTACAGGTAAATAAGCAGAGACGCCGCCAGTCCATGAGGGCTAAGATTATAAGACTATTGTATACTAAACATGCAAATTGTTTCAAAATATTTATGTGTTTCATAGAAATAAAATGCAGTCGAAAGATTATGATTAAACTTCCTCAGATACTTGCAAATATAGTTTACAGTCTATTTGCAAGCAGAGATACATCTTTATTAAAAATATTCATAGTGTCTTTTGATGTGAATGTTTTTTGACAATTATATCCCATTAAAATATATTGCTTAAATGAATTAAAGTGTTAACTTAAATACAAATGTCATTCTCATCTTTTTTCCAAAGTCTGTTTTCTATCAGATTTTGACATTTGTCATGCAAAATAACTGATGTTTTTAATGTTTATTACTATTATTGTATGATATTTAAGAGGAAAATTCCACAAACACAACACAAGTTCACATGAAAACGAATCTAAGATTAACTAGCTAGCTTAAAGCCAGTTCGTGCCTGAAATAA